GGTCTCATCTCTGGAGGAATTTCGGTGTCGGTTAGTATTGATAATTTTCCGTATAAATTTCGGTATCTAATGTGTTATAGTAATTGCTTGGACTGTCCTCTACATCATTGTTACTGCCGTTGCCACTGAAATATTTGACTTTACTTCTGGCGGTGGCGGTGCACTTGAGTTCAAGCGTTCAAAAGCCGCAAAGAACAAGGTCAAGGCGGAAAATGCTACACCTGATGAAGAAAACTCACCAGTTTCTACCAGTCCAATACCTACAAGCGGCGCCTCTTCCAGCAACACTCTTGAGCCACCTCAAGAAGAAGCACTGAAAGATATCACTGGCTCTGAATCTGTATTTACATGGGAAAACGTCGAGTACACAGTGCCATATCTTGGTGGCGAGCGCAAACTTCTCAACAAAGTCAATGGCTATGCAAAACCTGGCTTTATGGTGGCACTTATGGGAGCCAGTGGAGCAGGAAAAACAACACTCCTGAATACCCTTTCTCAACGTCAAAAGACAGGTGTAGTTACCGGTGACATGTTGGTTGATGGACGACCACTGGGAACTGAATTTCAGAGAGGTACAGGATTCTGCGAGCAAATGGATCTTCATGACGGCACAGCTACTATTCGAGAAGCCCTTGAGTTCTCAGCCATTCTTCGACAAGAACATACGGTTCCAAGAGCTGAGAAGATTGAGTACGTAGACAAAATTATTGATCTCCTCGAATTAGGAGACATGCAAGATGCTTTGGTCAGATCTTTGGGCGTAGAGCAGAGAAAGAGAGTCACCATTGGTGTTGAACTAGCAGCAAAACCTAACCTTCTACTCTTCTTGGATGAGCCCACTTCTTGTCTCGACTCACAATCCGCCTATTCCATCGTTCGTTTCCTGAAGAAGCTTTCTGCAGCCGGCCAAGCTATCGTTTGTACAATCCATCAACCCTCTTCGGTCCTTATCCAAGAGTTCGATATGATCCTAGCCTTGAATCCAGGTGGTAATACATTCTACTTCGGGCCTGTCGGTGAAAACGGTTCGGCGGTGGTAAAATACTTTGCTGACCGGGGAGTACAATGCCCACCCCAAAAGAACGTCGCAGAATTCATTCTTGAAACTGCTGCCAAGGGTGGAAAACGTCGCGATGGCAAGAGAATTAACTGGAACGAGGAATGGCTTAATTCCAATGAAAACAAGACCGTTATGCAGGAGATTGAGCGCATCAAATCCGAGCGTGGCCAAGTTGCCGCTCCAGAAGCTAATTCCCAGCGTGAATTTGCTTCTCCGGTTATGCTACAAACAACTGAATTGACTAAACGTCTCTTCACTCAATACTGGCGTGATCCATCATATCTCTACGGCAAGCTGTTTACATCTGTCATCATCGGTATCTTCAATGGCTTCACATTTTGGCAGCTAGGTTACAGTATCATTGATATGCAGAACCGAATGTTCACTTCGTTCTTGATTATTCTTATCCCGCCTACCATTGTTAATGCTGTTGTGCCTAAGTTCTACCAGAATCGCGCACTTTGGGAAGCCCGAGAACTCCCTTCGAGAATTTATGGTTGGGTTGCTTTTTGCACTGCGAATATCGTCGCCGAGATACCAATTGCTATTGTCGGGGCAGTGATTTATTGGGCATTGTGGTATTGGCCCACTGGTCTCCCAAGTGATTCTTCTACATCAGGTTACGTGTTCCTCATGACAATGCTATTCGTAAGTTCCTCCCTTCTTAGCCCACTCTCCTCACCGCAAGTTGCTAATTACTTTATAGTTCCTTTTCCAAGCGTCATGGGGTCAATGGATTTGCGCTTTCGCACCATCATTCACCGTAATCTCCAATGTTCTGCCCTTCTTCTTTGTCATGTTTGGCCTCTTTAACGGTGTTGTTCGTCCTTACGGTCAAATATCCGTTTTCTGGCGCTACTGGCTTTATTACCTTAATCCAGCCACTTATTGGATTGGCGGTGTTATCGCCGCTACTCTCTCCAATGTTCCTGTCGAATGTGCATCAAATGAAGCTGCATATTTCAATCCTCCATCGGGTCAAACATGTTCCTCTTATGCTAGTGACTTTGTTACTTCCGCTGGAGTAGGTTACTTGACGAACCCGGATGCGACGACAAATTGCGGATATTGTCCATACTCTAGTGGAGAGGAATACATGAGGAATCTGAACGTCACTCCAGATGACAAATGGAAATATTTCGGTATTTTCTTGGCATTTTGCATCAGCAATTGGGCGTTGGTTTACTTCTTCATCTACACGGTGAGAATTCGAGGATGGAGTTTCGGATTTGCCACCTTATTTGGGGGATTAGGCAAGTTGGTTGGGAAGGCCAAGGGGGTCTTTAAAGGAAAGGAAAAGAAGAGTGTTACGGAATCCAAGTAGGGTATTGATGAGATATGGAGATGTCGGACTAATGAGAAGATGAGATGCCATTAATTATTCAAATTCAATTTTGTATTTAGCGTTGGGATACCTAGTGTTAGTGTGTTAAGATACACATGGGAAACATGTTCAGAACTCGGCTCTAGTTCCGAATGTGTTGAAGGAAAAAGCTTTTTGAGGAACATTCAGTCCTGATAAGATAATGACTATTTTAATTATGAAGACATGTAACTTCTACTTCACTATTTTTTGTGCTCAAGACTGTGTAGCAGATCATGCTTGCTCTATTTCGATACTTCACTGGAAATCCCGCTGAATGATAATGAAGCAACGCTTTCAATTTCGACATCCAACTTCTGCGTGCAATTGAAATCATCAAAGCATTCAATCTCTCAACTTGATTGAAGTATTTGTATATCTCGAAATTTGGAAGTTTTTTTTTCGATTACTGAACCGAAAAACGCTCGCATTTTAGAAGTCTTTGATCATCAGGTAGGATCCAAACCACAGGAACCGCTTTCCAATCACATAACCTCTGCGTGAGAATGGGAGGGATTACATGTGATAACTTTACTGAAGGAAAGAGAGGATTTAAGTTCTTGAATCTTTGGATATGGGAAATGAGATACAAATAATTGATTTTGTCTTCGATCCTTCCGAACTAAATGTCTTACTAAGTCGCCACTTCTTTGTCAATTTAATCTTTTGACGTATCTTAATCTCATCTGTCATGTGAATATCCATTCGAAAATTCGGTTCAAGTCACTTCACACTCAAAACATTGGATATGTTTTCCTTCTTCACATGCCCGAGATGTGTCTGGCTAACCTCTTTCTTATATTAAATCTCATCTCATTTCCGAAAACCAATTCGTACAATGTCATCCACTACAACCTCATACTCGCCCAGTTGAATATATCGTCTTTGCAGCATAATCGGTACGCGTAATAGGTTAGCTAGAGCTCACATACCCAAACATTGCGGGGAAGTGTTGATTCCAGACCGTAGTCGCATGTGAATCTTAAGATTTCTCAAGAAAATGAACATGGGATTATCTTCATATAGTTCAACTCCACGGATGTGAGACTAGCTATTCCTTAGAGCCTGAGAGGGTTCAAGACAATTGGCAAGATATTATATTTGAGTTTATCTGTCATAGCACATTTCCCCTACGAGCCACTGAAACCCGAGTTTCTAGACTCCTAGAGGTCATGATGAAGAAATGTGAAGGCTTCAATATTGTCCTTCTAGCTCTAGAGTCAGATCATCGAGTCATGTCATGACATGACATACATAAACAGACACTAGAGCTGAGTATGCAATCTACTACGTGAAGAGACAGTTCCTTTTCACAATATCCACGAGTTACTCCTAGTCAAGTTCAAAGAAAGCTCCTATGCTCATACTTCCGGGGTAGTTTCCATTCGCAGCTCCACCTCCCTCGCTTAGCTTCAAACCCTTTAAAGATTTTTCCTTCGCTCTCATTGCATAGTTTAATAATTCAAATAGGAATTCCTCCTCCAACAAAGCTCAAGCAAAGCCTGCCCGGCTAGCTCAATCGGTAGAGCGTGTGACTCTTACTCATCGCAAGATGTTCTAGTCAATCACAAGGTTGGGGGTTCGACCCCCCCGTTGGGCTCAATTCCCATCATTCATTGAAGACGCTTGATTTTTTGCACTTTTGAAGTGTCGATGACTTTTTCTGGCAAATTGTCTATTTTTCCCATGGACACTGAGAGATTTAGAGTCTTAGACACGAGAAGAGAGACGAGAGATGAAAAGAGGTGGAGAAGGGCAGGAGAAGAAAGAAAAGTTTTTTTCTTCATCTGGTGGAGTAGAGGAAGGGAGGGGTCCTTGTCGAGACGAGCTTATTCCTCCCTCCGCTCCGATCTTAATCTTATCTCTTCACCCCACTCACTCCGTTCCACCAGAACAGCCCGCCCAAAAACCAGTGTCAAAAACTTCGGCTTACATTGTCAGAGTTTTACGATGAATGTCATTCATTGGATTGATGTATATAACAAGTTTATTTTGAGTGGTTATGCATATGCGTGTCACATATATCAATTCTGAAAGCATTGCAGCGGAAGATTAGAATTACGTTGAATTCTCGATAATAAATATCTTACTTATTACCCTTGCGTAGGTACTTCTATGCTTACCATTATTTTATCCCAGAAGATTTTGTGATGCAAGAAAATTATACTGTTTGCATTAGGTTAGTAGCTCCTCAACGTCAACTTACTTGTATTTTGGATGCTAAAATCTCTTTTTAGCCCGCTAATTCAAAGATACTTATTACCAAGTGTTTGAAAGGTGTGGTGTATTGCAATTGTCTATCGCGTATGAAGAGTTTGAAAACCCACCAATAGGAGAAGTGGCTAGAAACTAGTCAAATAGATCAAAATTCGAAGCTTAATAGACCTTTATAAATATATCACTGGAGTTCCGTACAATACTATATTTGTAGTATCACGTTTTGAACATATACATAAATTTGATACTGTACTATCAGGACTTTCATTTCCATCAATTTCAGAGAATCAAATGATTGTGATTTGGAGAGATTCAGCTAATTTGTTGACACACCCCTCGAACACTTATTGAATCATTAGATCACAAGAATCTTAACACATGTGGTCGACCCAAACGTGCGTATTCTTCTTCAGTCTCTTCCCAAATCCGATCACGATCTTCATCCCATGCTTGCTGATTGAAATTATCTGGCCAACCGTATGTACCTTCTAAATAATGCTTAATTTTACGTCGCTGTATGAGCAACATACAGATGATCAGTTTCGTACTTTACACGTCGTTCGTCACAGTTACGGTATGAAAATTTCACTTACCATCCATTCGTCTGCAAATTCAATATAGCCTAGTGCACTCTGTCCCGGTGGAATAGCATCTAGAGCCTTGATTCTATTCAGCTGCATACGAAGGAAACTTGGAGCATGCCTGGGCCAATAGTTGCGATAGTAGACAACATCATTAGGTCGCTCGAGGGGTGTATTAGGGGGATTTGATAAGTCTGGACCGTCGTCTGTGATGGACACTACTCGAATCGTATCTACAAACATCATGTTAAGACGATACGTCTATTGCGGACATTGTACTCACTTTCTCTTGTATCAAGAATCACAATAGGTGTCTCCGGATCCCCGGCAGATAGCATAACATCATGCGGTAGTATATAGCATTCGGATGCAGGGGTTTCCCCCTCCACAAACGATGGAGACTCGCGACTGCTACGGAGACTAAACCCATTGTCCAAAATGTCGAAAAGCTGACTAGATTGATAAAGAAAGATTGGGCAGATACAATTTCCAGGACAAGGTAAAAGTCGAATTAATGACCATGCTGCATCAGAAATATTGAGCTCATTGCAAAGCGCCTCATCAAGGCGATGACCACCTTCTGGAGGCCAAATCACTTCAGCTTCCGAAACGGTTGACAGCCGAACAAAATTTCGGACAATTTCGTGAATGAGATGTACAATTTCGGCCTCGTCGTATGGGGTTCGTGTGTTGTATATGGGGAGCCATTCGGTTGATGGGTCATCATGGTCAGGTATACGCGGAATTTCAGCGGGTAGATTTCTCCTTGGAGGTGGCGTGTACTGAGAAGGTTGTGAAACCGGGGGGAATAACGACTTGGGAGATTTATGGTCGGTTGACATTTTGAGCAAAGTTAAGTAAACCGAAAACTATCAAGATGCGTAGATTTGTAGTCGTTAAGAACAAGGCGGAGATTATTAATGCTATCTAAGTATTATATCAAGTCATTATAATAAAGATAATTAACTTCAACTACAATTAATAGCGATTAAATCTACTTTTAGAACTCATTTTGATAGAAAACTCTAAAACTAGAAATCCACTATGAATTACAAAAAACTATATTTTATAGTAAAACTTTTTATTATAATAGAATTAGTCAAATTAAACAAGACTATAAACTTCTAATACTTACTAATTAGATTTATGAAATAAGATCGCTTAGCCCTGAAACTAGGAGATAATAGAAAGTCCTAGAAAATATCTATAAATCCTCTCTTTTTCGTTTTTCTTCTTCTTTATATATATAGTTGTAGTAAATTCATAACCGATTCAATCTATCTATAGGTAGGTAGGTATCTAGCTAAAGCTATACTAACTATACGATGCGCCTATGTATATCTAACAGTATAAAGTAGATAGAGAAAAATAATAGAAACCTAACCCCCCGCCCCGAGGTCTTCCGAGTCTCTCTCCCTCTCTCTCTTTATACATACACATATAAAGGTAAAATCTGATAAACGCACCAAATCCTTCCTTCCTCCCTTCCTCAATCATACAATCCCAACAACATCTAAACCCAAATAAAAAATCACTACTTTTACTCCACACTCCATACTATACCTATACCTATACCTATACCTATACCTATACCTATACCTATACCTATACCTATACCTATACATACACACATACACACAAAGCCCCCCTTCAACATCTCTTCAACATCTCTTCAACATCTCTTCAACATTCCCTGAATATCCATCCCCTCAATATCCATCCCCTTAATATCCATCCTCTCAATATCCATCCCCTCAATATCTATCCTTTCAATATCCATCCCCTCAATATCTATTTCCTCAATATCTATCCTTTCAATATCTATCCCCTCATATCCATCCTCTTAATATCTATTCCCTCAATATCCATTCCCTCAATATCTATTCCTTTAATATCTATCCTCTTAATATCCATTCCCTTAATATCTATTCTTTCAATATCTATCCCTTTAATATTTATTCCTTTAATATCTATTCCCTTAATATTCATCCCCTCAATATCCATTCTCTTAATATCCATCTCCTCAATATTTATTCCCTCAATATTTATTTCTTCAATATCTATCCTCTTAATAGCTATTTTCTCAATATCTATTCCGTTAATATCTATTCCCTCAATATCTATTCCTTCAATATCCATTCCCTTAATATCCATCCCCTCAATATCCATCCCCTTAATATCCATCCCCTTAATATCCATCCTCTCAATATCCATCCCCTCAATATCCATCTCCTCAATATCCATCCCTCATATCCATCTCCTCAATATCCATCCCCTCAATATCCATCCTCTCAATATCTATCCCTTCAATATCCATCCCTTCAATATCCATCCCTTCAATATCCATCCTTTCAATATCTATTCTCTCAATATCCATTCCTTTAATATCTATCCTTTCAATATCCATCCCCTTAATATTCATTCCCTCAATATTCATTCCCTCAATATCCATTCCTTCAATATTTATTCCTTTAATATCTATTCCCTCAATATCTATTCCCTCAATATCTATCCCCTCAATATCTATCCTTTCAATATCCATCCCCTCAATATCTATCCCTTTAATATCTATTCTTTCAATATCTATCCTTTCAATATCCATCTTCTTAATATCTATTCTCTCAATATCTATTCCTTCAATATTTATCCTTTCAATATTTATCCCCTTAATATCCATTCCCTCAAGAGAACCCCCCCCCCCCCCAAATAAAAGCTACTCACTCACTCACTCACTCACTTACCAACCAATAAAATCCTCCTATCTAACACCATAGCTACCATACCTACCTACCTATCTCCTAAGTATAAGTACAAGTAAGTAAGACCTCAATATGAAGAAATCCAAATCTTGACGAAAAACAAATCTCAAAGCAATCCAAATCTCAAATACAAAGCGCGCCATACCTAGGTACACAACATCCAATTCTAGCGTATCTCAATCTCAGAACACCTACCTACCTAGTAGATATATATTATTTGCTCGATAATAACAAAACCTTCGGCCTTCGGATGCCACTTAACTAGGTAGACGATGCGTCCTGAGTCTGTCACCCTCCTGGCAGGTAGGTAGGTAGTCTTAGGGTACCTAGGTAGGTAGGTACCTAGTCAATCCTGCGAACCGTTGGCCGAGAATATGGACTTCTTCGTCTACCTATTGAATTTGTTCAGAAGGTGTAATACATACCTAGCCGTAGAGGTAGGCGTAGGATATTGAACCTATCTTGGATTCCAAATCATTCAAATCTTCATTTCAAGGGTAACATCTAAACAGCCGAGAACATTCAATTGATCTGGAACATTGGATTCTCAAACATTCACATATCTTCTGCCATGCTGGAATATTAGATACCATGGGTAGTTCTAATATTGAATTTTATTAATTATGTAGGTGCGTATTGCGCGACGTGTTCGGTATGAAGAGGAGGGGTATAACTTTAAAAAAAAATCATATGACAATTCGCTGATAGATCAGGTGTATGAATACGCAGGCCGAACCAACCAAGTTATTCCAACCAGATTCGTTCCACCCGTTGAAGCCTATCCTATAACGCCAAGTATGGATGGGGTATTACCCAAAGGAATAACAAGAAAACTGTTGTTAGTTCGTAATGTCGTTTGCAGAGGAAGTGCTGAGCGAGGGCCGTTATTATATACAACTTCACTACGACTCTCAATTTGACGTTGTTTTGTCTGACTCAAGTACCCAAGCATTAACAATGTGACCTTCCTGCCACCCTTGTGCTGATAATGAGGCGCTTTCTTTGAGGAGTTTGCCCATATAATTGATTTTCACATGCTTGGGTGGAGAAATCTAGTTCACTTAATTAGCTTTGGAGGTTGGAGAAAACCTTTGGGAGATACAAACCTCAAGCCTCTGCGTTATTATTTTGATAAGTGAGCGCACCGAATCGTTCTTTCCAATTTTGAACACTATATCTCCATTGATACCGTGTTGGAACCTCGCTTTCACTGATATCATCTCTTTCGCCTTGGCTTTCCCTTTCGTTTCTCTCCTCCTTAATATTTCCTCATCGACTTCCTCACTTTCCTCCGCCAGGTCTCCTTCATCATCGCTCTTCCCTGTTGCATCTGCCGTAGTATCGTCCAAGATATTCGCTGGATCAGAAACAACATGTTCTGGTACACGATATAATGCACCTGTACTGTCATAACATCCCCTGATTGCCATATCTCCATCTGGTAGCGTGATTTCTGCCGCATTCAATATCATTTGCGCAGTTGCTAGACCCCCATCATCCTCACCAGGCTCTCCACCTTTCCACATTACTTCCAATGAAGCTCTTATAGCTTGCCATATTTCAGGTCTCCCCGTAACGCGAGTGTCGAAGAATTCTATTCGTGCTCGATCTATTTCTCGTCGTGTCCATAACTTACTTCCACTCATCCATACGTGGGGCTTAAGAGGTTTGTTTAAATGTTCATCAAGGGGAATACGGTGGTGGGTTCGGGGAGGAGGATTGCTATTAGAGGAGGCATTTGTCGATGGCCTAGCTAGACCTGATCGAGATTGAGGTCGCGAGGACGATGCGATTGCTTGAGAAGAGGATGCACCAGCTCCGGCAGAGTATTCAGTGCGGGGTCTGGAAAAACAACAACCCTGAGTGAAAAATTCATGTCAGCGGTTAACTTTCAGATTTGAATTGAATGTTTGATTGAATCGTCTTCAGTAGTTGGATAAGATTTGACTCCTGAATTCGATTTGAATATGGCAAACCATTTAAAACATTTCAGACATGGGAAGTTGGTGCAGCAGAGTCCTACTGGGAATTGCGAAAGGTGCATTTGAATGGATTGTAAAGAGAGAACATACCATGATGCATCATATGCGAATCAAGTATTAACGTGCACGCACGTATTATTGAATTAGATTTTATAGATCTATGTATGAAGATTATGGAGATTATGGAGATTATGAAGAAGGCGTATCAAAAGTTTGAGGGTATTCCAAAAAAGGAAGGGCTACAATGAGATCGCCACCACCTGATGGTTTATAGAAGAGAGGATATTACTGAAGAGTATGAACGAATGCGGATACAAAATGTAAAAGAGATAGAGAAAGAGAAAGTTTAGATTATTCCATCGTTGCGTGGTTGAGTACTACCAAATTTGTCGATATGATTGCATGGATATAATAAATTGTTGGTGCTTGCATGAGGTTGGTGGGATGAGAGAGCACAAGCACAAGCACGAGCACGAGCACAAGCAAAAGCAACAAGCAAGCAGTGGAGGTTGAAGGAAAAAGGTGAAGGAGTTTGTTACTCTGGAGATTGAGGCAAGGGCTAGATGCGGAATGACAAGGATATAGATTTTGAACCAGAGGATGATTGGTTTAAGTGAAGGATCAGTGAGTCTGTGCAATGGAAAGCTTAATTATTAATCGCAAAATTGCAAAATCTATACTCGTAGCTAGCTAATACCTACATACAGTTATCAATAGATCATGGAAGATTCTTATTAGCCATACTCCATACATGCCATCCCATCCATACTGTGAATAGATATTACAAAGGCGCATAGGTAAGCTTATCTAACAGGTAGATGCTTCAAAGCCTCAAGTGCCAAATCCATTACAACGCATCAGCAGTACAGCAGGACCACCTACCTATCTCTTCTAAGTAATATTAAGTACCAGAGGCATTTCATGCAGGAATCTCATGATTCGGTCACCACAGAACTGGCCTCGGAACACTTTGATATCTATTTTGGGAATCCTATCAAGATCAAATCAAGTGAAAATACTTCGTATACATATTTTGAGTGAAGCTTGAGTGAAGCTTGAGACTAGGTAGCCTTTTGATATACATAGGTACCTGTCTAACCCCAAAGTCATCTAGCTCATTCTCTCGCCGCCGTACCCCACAATAATTTCTCAGCCTTCCGCTCAATAATAATCCATCTCTCTTTGTAAGAAAATCTTCCCGCTACACCCTCCACCACTCCCATATTCCACCACTCCCACTACCACAACCCTCCCATCAACAAAAATAAACCCTTCAACATGTCAGACGATTACCAAGTACCTACCTCCGTCCCAGCGACAAACCCCACCCAAGCCCCCAATCCATATGGCGCATCCGGAGTTTTGGGCGACGGTCCTGCGATCAAATATTTGTGCGGCGATTGTAATGCGAGTGTTATGTTGAAGAGAGGTGATCCGATTAGATGCAAAGAGTGTGGTCATCGTGTTTTGTACAAGGAGAGAACTTCTAGGTATGTGGATTTTGTTTCGAGAAGAGCGGGGTGTTGAATTTTGCGGAAGAGAAACTTACTTGGTGATAGAATGGTTCAATTCGAGGCAAGATGATTAGGGATGGTGTGCGGAATGGACGGGGAAATTGGGAGCAAACGAGATTATGTGATGGAACATGTGAGGATAGAGAGATATGAGAGAGGATTGGAAAACGAAGAGATTTGGGAGAGGTCTGGGAAATGGTTGGTACAATTTTGATGGAGTGGTAATGGTCAAGGTACGAGACATATCTCGAGGCGCATGGGTATAAAAAGATTGTCACGACTCGATGGCCGGCGCATGTTCGATAGAGGACTAGGACAATCATATTGTGTACATTGAATTACATTTTTTTCTACCCAAAGCTATATTTTGGTATCAATATGCGCCATCACATAGCATAGATGCGCCGTTAAATGCTAAAACCCCTAAGCCTAGAACTCCTTTGCCCATTTCGCCAATCTTGCCCCTACTCCACGCCTACTGCATATTATTCATTTGGCTGGCTCTGATGTAGCGAGTGAAGCTGTGATCGTCTGCATTAGACGGGCCTCCTCCATCTGCCAAAGCTGCCTTGTATCTTGAACTTAATCCTTCAATGTTATCCCCGCCGTCCTCATCGTCATCTCCACCTGCTGCTAGATCGTCATCAGAGTCCTCCATATCACTCAGCGTATCCAAATCGGTCGAAGGTTTGGCATTTGGTGGACCTTTGGCTTTAGAAGATGAAGGCTCTCCCGAAACGGCCATATCTTTCATCAATTTGTCCAATTCCTTTCCTCGATTTTCCTCCTTCTCTGCATCCCTCTGTCTTCTTCGGCGTTCCAATTCTGGCTTATAATCTCTTTCAAACTCCTCAGCCTTCTCTGACACAGCCTCAAAGAACTCATCAATACCCGCACCAGTCATAGAACTGACGCCCACCACACTCAAATGACTGTAAAACTCTTCCAACATCAAACTCATGCTATTGAGCAACGATCCCATATATCCACTACCACCACCTAATCCACCAGCACCTCCCTCTAGACCACCGAAGCTTCCTGCTTCCTCCTCTTCTCTGAGAGCAGCCTGGAAAGATTCGAAGTCTGTCATCCATTCCTTAGCAAATTCAGCATCCTTAACATCCGTTTTGTTGAAGACCAGAATCATTGGCAGTTTTGTCTTGTATAGAATGCTGCATGCATATAGCATGTTACTCATAAAAGTACTCGTTGATGACGTTCTTGGTGTATCAATGATATATGCAATAACCGTGGGGAAAGTCGAAGCCAAAGAATCCAATAAAATGCTTCCTGAAGCACTCCAGACGAAAACCTCAATTTGACCTGGCGTATCGACCAAAATATGTTTGATAGGAGTCGCATTTGGTTTCTCGGGATCAGGAGTGGTGCGCTTTTCGAGTACGGTCAATATTTGATCAATCTTTGTAGCAAAAAGGTTGAGCGATGTGAGAATTCCTCCGTTCGGTCCAAGGTTGTAACTTTTCATCACTTCTTGATAGTTGACAGAGTCGCGGATATCGATGTTACTCTCGAATGGAACATTTCGTACAGCGGGATCCAGGTTGAGAACATACGGAGGCTCTTTCTTGCCGTGTAGATGAGAGTTTATTCGTTGCATAAAGGTAGTTTTACCAGAACCTGTCGGAGGAGAATTAGCGGGCGCATTCATCAAATACAAATGAACATCAACTCACCGGCCATGCCTACACACACAATAGAAACAGGCTTAGAAGCCTCTGGTTTCTTAGAATCCGCCATATCGTAGATGCTTTATTTGTTTGTTAAAGAAAAATCGACTTGTGTTTGTGAGGTGTAAGTAGAGGAATTTGGCGGGGTGCGAAGTGGGATGCATGGTCCTTCAAATAAATTTCGTACCTTGCTAAAGTAGCGCTCCCGTAATGCTTCTCGCTACCGGTACTGGGCAACCATCATCAAAAACATCAAATTTCATTATATCAATAAACTCTACAACAATGGACGGCTTGGATGAATTCGAGAAAAGCTTAGCAGCGGAAAAGCTAGAGAGGGAGAAAAGTGAAAGAAGCTCGCGCAAAGATAAGGATCGGAAGCATCGACATCATCATAGATCACGGCACCACAGGTCCAGAGAGGATGACGATGAAGAAAGAGACGACCACCGACATAAGCGATCGAGACATTCCAGACACGAGGAAGAAGATGAGGACAGAAGCAAGCGCAAGCACGAAAAATCATCGGATCCCAAGGAAGATTTACCAATTCCAGATGAGGAGGAAGCAGAAGTTCGACCAAAAGCTACTCGCGATTCTTGGATGACGGATCCTACAGCTTTCGAATTCGATTTTACACAAAAAGGATCCAAAAAGCCTACAGAGCCAAAAGTTGCACCCAGACCTGATTACGATTTGAAGGTTCATAAGAACGAACTCAATCAGCATTTACAAGATCTAAATGAAGGAGTCAAAAAGTTGGACGACATCGAAGCTGGACATGACGTCGATTATACATTTGGAGATTTGGGAGCTCAATGGCGCATGACGAAGTTAAAGGCAGTATACACACAGGCGGAACAGAGCGGAAAGCCTATCGATGAGATAGCTATTGCGCGATTTGGAGGTCTACGGGAATTTGATGATGCGCGAGAAGAACAAATTGAGCTTGACCGCCGAAGACTATATGGGGAAGGCTATGTTAGGAAAGAGAAGCCTAGCGGAGAGTTGTTTCAAGAGAGAAAATTGGATCTAGGTATTAGAAGAGGTTCGATACCACACCGTGATGAGCCAGCAAATCTACCGCAAGGGGAGATTATGGAAGAAACAAACCCAGGCCCTGTTCAGCTCGATGCCACGGCCCTGAATCGATTGAAGGCTCAAATGATGAAAGCAAAGCTCAAGAAATCGCCTGACGCTGCGAGACTCGAGGCTGAATACAACGCTGCAGCTTCCGCCGGATTAGCAGCTACTTCAGAACCCGGTATGGTAGTATTAGGGAAGATGGACAGTAGAATGTTAGCGGGAACTCGTGGAGAAGTGAAGTCGATAGACAATAAGAGGGGCCGCGAGAGAGGTTTGGTGGAAGAGAATGAAGATATGACTATTGAAGATATGGTGCGCGAGGAACGACGGACAAAAGGACAAGCTGGCGGTGACGGTATGCGCGCCGCTGAACGCATCGCGAAGGATGCTAAATTCGATAATGACCTCGACTACATGGACGATAATGCAAATAAGCTTGCGAAGCGCGTGCAAAAGTCCGAAATAAACTTGAGGAATACAGCCATAGGAGATTTCCAAAAGATGAATCGCATTCTGGACTCCTGCCAATTGTGTCATCATGAAGACAAAAATCAACCTCCTGTTGCGCCACTCGTATCCTTAGCTACACGAGTATATTTAACACTCCCGACAGAGCCGGAATTGAGTGATGGTGGAGCCGTCATTGTACCCATTCAGCACCGGACAAACCTCCTTGAATGCGACGACGATGAATGGGAGGAAATTAGAAACTTCATGAAATGTCTAACACGCATGTATCATGATCAAGGACGAGATGTAGTATTCTACGAAAATGCCGCAACACCACACCGAAAGATGCACGCAGCCATGCAGGCAGTACCACTGCCCTATAGCCTAGGAGAAACCGCGCCAGCCTTTTTCAAAGAAGCCATCCTATCCTCGGATGAAGAGTGGACACAACATAAGAAGCTCATCGACACTGCAGCACGCGCACGAGATGGTCTTGGAAAACTAGCTTTCCGCCGATCGATCGCTAAGGAGATGCCCTATTTTCATGCTTGGTTTGACCTCGATGGTGGCTTGGGACATATAGTTGAAGACGCCAATCGTTGGCCCAGGGGAGATCTCTTCGCGAGGGAAATTATCGGCGGCATGTTGGATATCGAGCCTGATGTTATCAAACGACAGGGACGGTGGAGTCGAGGAGGGGATAAAAGATTGGAGGGTTTCAGAAATCGTTGGAAGAAATTCGATTGGACTAGGGTGCTTACGGATGAGTGAGTGCACGCAAAATTGAACATACTTGCACACGTATCATAATCATAATCATATCATATCATATCATACCCTAGCTCATCATATCACATCATAATCCTAATTGTACAATACCCATCTGAAGTATTATCAAAGACACAAAATACGTACCTACATACAACACATAACAATCTGATTCCCATCAGGTCACACCGTGCCGGATTGGGCCAAATCATCTTCAGGAGCCGCGGCCCGCCTTCCGGCTTCCAGCTCGTTTTGCTCGTCTGTTCTATACGTGGTTAACATGTCAGGAAAACACAATATGTTACATACAATTACATACAGTCTCTTTTATTGTGTATGTACATACCTACGTACCATAACTGTTCCTGTTCGCTCTACCGGTAGGTAGGTAGGGACTCGTATCTCTTTCGGCCTTTCTTGCGTTTCGGGCACCAAGAATTCAATAGTTGGAAGCCCTGGAGTAGGTAGATTGATTGTGACTGGTTGTTGCCCCAGTTGTCCGAGGTAGGTTTAGTTAATCGCATTTTTCAATTGGTTGTAAATTGTAAGTTAGATAGGCAAATGAATGGATCTTTCTATTTTTCTGACTATCTCGGTTTGGGTTGGCGTTATCGTACGGCGGTACCTACTAGGTACTTTCCTACCTACCTAGCTTTGCTATGCTATGCTATGTTGAACACAATACACAAACACAAGATTGCCTGTCTCCCCGAGGTGCATGTACATCTAGTTCAGAGCCCAAAAGAAAAAGAACAACGTTTTTGTGCTAGAGGAAGAAAATGGAGCAATGGATGGTACTTGGTATCGTATCATGGCATCCATCCTGTTTACCGGTGATGAGATACTTAGTGATACATAGGTACCTCTTCCATGCGACCATGCACGCGATATCGGTGCATATGTTGGATATACGTAGAGAGATCATTTCTGGATGGGTGCAACATGAGCAAGGGGGCCATTGCACAAGATTGATGCAGATATCCTCGCGATGCGTAGAAGGGTTCTAGAAGGATAGATTGCTGAGACGTGTATATGTACCTACGTCTTGTTTGTGGACGATGGGATACTGTGCAGGAGATGTACGGCATGGGTTTTGACGGGTTGGGTACGCCGTCCCATGTTTTTCTCGTGGTTGGGGTGTGTATGGGATACTTGGATATTTGGATGGGTACAGCATGACTGTGACGCTTTTCGTACTACGTCCCATTCTTTTGCGATGCTTCCGAAAATAGAGTAGAGCGCCAAATTCGGACGGATTGGCATTGTTTTTCGGACAATCTTTCTATCCATTGGGTATGTGACTTGCAGAAGATGATTGAAGTATTGTAGTGAAAAGTGTGTGGTGGATGTATTCATTCCAACATCTTATCCGCACCACAGACCGCAGAATTGAACTTTCACGAGGCATTTCTTCATTTCAGCCTTTCTTCTCCCATTGAACCATGGATGCATCCTCGGTCGTACCCGGCTAAAAGAAAGGTAGAAGCGAAGCAAGCAATTCACGCAGGCAAGCAAGCGAGCAAGCAAGCTAGCATGAAAACCATCATGCTTCGATGTAGGTAAGGCAGGTGCAGGTGCAGGTACCCATATAACCCGTTTCGAATAATTGCTGAAACAGATTGTCAGAGGACCCTTGTCGACACCTTGTTCATGTGAATACCTTCCGAGTTCTTCTGTGGGAGATAACAAAAGCTTGGCTCCGAGATAGGATGTCACCGTAGAGAAGAGAAGTGAAGATCTCATACACCATTGTGAGATCACGAATGGAATTTCCTCCTGCGTTAGAGTGAACCACGAGGCTGAGGGGTTGCGGGAGATGGCATGCATTGATTGTACGCTTGTTGTGCGCTAAACCTCCTTTTTTGCTCAAATGCCGGGTACGAGGGTCTAAGATTAGGGTTTGGATGGGTGGAGGATAATGCGGAGACGAAATTGAAAAACGGGTCGCGTCAAGCTTGGTCATTTACGGAGGAGGTCGAAAGACTGCAAGTGGTAACGAGAGAATCTCATCCTGTACATATTATCCTTTCCTTTATGCGCTTCTCAGCCGGACCAACTTCCAAGGTAGTTTGTTTCGACGTTGCGTTGCAGTGGCTTATGTATTCAGGCTATCCAATTAGCTATGTCTAGGAATAAGGACCAGGGGTATTCTTCCTGCGTGAATAGAATGGAAATCCTTCATTATTCCAAGATTAGCTCAGCAAGCATTCTGACATGCATAATTTCTGAAGATATGTCTGACCTGAATAAGGTCATAGGAAAAGATTCAGAAGAATGTGTATTCGGTAAATTAAGCTCGACATCTTCATTCTACTCTCAGCATGTATTCGAAGAGGCATGTGAGAGACAGAGTAATAAGAGTGCTTACGAGGGCAACCATATTTCACTAGTTGAAAAGGATGTATTGCCCATTTGGGAACGCTCTACCTAGTCAGCATGAAGAGATTACTTCGTAGAGAAAAGATCTTCGTCTTCGCGCGTGCTGCGCTCTTCTCGCTCCCCGTCGGTTCGTAGCGAAGCTCGCAAAGGTCTTAACATGCATCGAAGATTCTATAATTCTTCCATCGCTTGTTTTTAGTCAAGCCGTACCGCAGCTAGATGAATTAAACGGTAATCATCCGAGTTGAAGGGGACATTCAAGTGGCTATTCTTTCGACAGGGGTTCCGTAAGTGTTGTGTCGTGCATGAAGGGGAAAAAGGCGAGCTACCTACGTAAAGTAGTACAGTCAGGAAGTAAGGTAAAGTAAGGTGCGTCAGAAATGATGGTATGGTATGATGGTAGATTGAGGTATTTGAGAAGGTCTTGTTGGTTCGAGTTTTACGAATCATAAAATTGAAAAGGAGAAATGGACCTTGGGTAGGTAATCGAATTAGGAAAAGGAGATGGATAGATTTAAATTCACTATATCCATTTCGAGTCAGTTGTGGAATTTATTGGTTAATACCTACTACTCAATCAATACCTTGGTACTCAAGTACACAGTACAGTTGTTCAAAGTTGTTCTTATTACCTAGGTAGGTAGTTAATATAGCTAGGTACTATGTCAAGTAACATGTAACATGTATCAGGAGAAAGATGGATGGATGGTTTTAGTAGCAACACCTTCCTAGGTATGCAGTGGTAATAATTCTATGATGATTGCTAGCTCCAACTTGATGGACCATCAGATAACAAACAATTTTCGACTAATAGGTACAAGAACTGGGTAAGGAATGAAATGCATTATTCACTGTTACTCGTAGTATCTGTTCAATCAAATACCTCCAGCTATGTACTAGACGCAAGCTAGTTTGTCTAGTTTCAATGAAAGGTCGAGAGAGTAGTTCGAATGACGGAGTGAATTCATAATTGAACATTGAACTGGATGGATACCTTGAAATTCGGGCAGACAAAGTGATTAAATGATTAAATTTACTCCCAGGCCAAGGTTCCCTTCAATCCAAAAAGCTTTAGAAAACCAGCTTGCAGCCGCAACTTCTTACTTTATTCCGACCGATCTACCTTTTTACTTTACTTTACGATACTTTACGATACTCTACGATACCTTACCTTACTTTCTACATGACATGACATATTCTCTACCTTGAGACTACCCTGCCTTGTCAGTTAACCTTTCCCTCCAACTCTCTCCAACTCAACTTTTCTTCAAACCCCTCCCAAGGAATTTCATTGTATCTTTCAACCCACCATACAATTCGAATCCAATACAATACAATACAATACAATACTATACTATACCATACCACACCACTCCACTCCATACCATACCAGCCTTCCCTTTCCCAGGTCCAAATCAAATCTACCAAATCAAATCAATCCAAATTAATTCTGCCTCTCTGGCTCCCTTTCAGAATCCATTTCCGATTCCTCTTCTCCACAACAAAACCTTACCACCTTTTTCTAAACTCTTACTCGTACTTTACCTCTCAACACTTCATACCTCTTCGAAACATTAAACTCGTTTCCATACCTACCTACCTACCACCTACCTACCTACTTACCGCGACAGCTCGCTTTCGTCTCGTAAACGAGTTTCGCTACGAACTCCTAAGTACAGCAAGCCGAGAGAATTCATCGAATCAAATAATTCTAGATCGATTTAATTCAAAGGACTTGAGTAATTTCTATTCAATTAAAATTTCCTGTTCATTTTAAGGCGGTGGTTAGATAAGGTTTCAAAAAAAAAGAACATCAAAATAATCAACGCAGCGCGACCGTGTCATAATCAATCCTAATATGGCACAGCAACACAATAATAGGAATAGTCCGCACTTAAATCATCTGCAACAAAACGGTTCGGCGCCTTCCTCTCCATCAATGTCTGGCTCTCAACAAGGTTCTCAACGACAACCAGTTAATTACCCAAGTCCAACTTCCTACCCGTCGCCTTCTTTGTCAACCTCACAATATAATTATCCGCCACCAGGTAACCAAAACGAGCCATATCGTGCGAGTTCGACCGGAAGCAACGGTTCCCTTTCTCTCCCAAGCATGCGTTCCTTGGATCCTCTTCAGCAGCAGCAACAACAGCAGCAAGCCGCACAACATCAGCACATGGGATCACCTTTACCTCCACCAGTTGCGCAAATGGGCGGCCCGTACTACCAAAATCAACTCCCTCATCCATCCCATCAGCACCAATATCCAAATGTTACATCTGATCCAAATATGCGATACGCGCTTCCAGTAGATTCTCGAGTCATGAGCGGAGGTCGACACAAAAAGGTATGTAGGATTCGTAAATCATCGTTGTTATCGTGTCATCGCGTCATTTCAGGCATCGCATCGTGCTAACATATTATTTTTCCATCAGGAGATCAAGCGTAGGACCAAGACGGGTTGTTTGACGTGCAGAAAGAGAAGAATTAAGGTCAGTTCTCAATGTTTTAATTTCGTCGCATTATCGAAAGAATGAATTGAAGTTTGAGGCTGAGTTTCTTCGCGATGGGAATCTTTTCGTCTATATGCAAGCGAATCACCTAAGTAGGCGAAGGCACATGAGCGAGCGAGACGAGCGACCTTGATACCCAGACCAGACCCACGAGTAGAGCGAGATTATCAATTTTCCAATTTGTTTTCGTTGGCAGATCGATAAATTCACTCGTTGTCGCGATCATCATCGCCTTCACTATCTATCTGAAAATTCTGCTAACCTCTTTCATCAGTGCGACGAACAACATCCTGCCTGCCGAAACTGTCAAAAATCAAAACGTGAATGTTTAGGTTACGATCCCATCTTCAAACAACAACCAGGTCCTGCTGCCATACAGCCAGCACCTAGCTCTGCACCTTCGCAATCTTCATCGATCGCGACCGCAAATCCTTACGGAAACCAACCACAGATGCTACAGAGTGGTTACGGTGTTCCAGCTTCAATGGCATATGATCCTGCTCTGACCGCACCCAGTGCTGGTCAACATTATGACTATTCATCTGCAATCGATCCAAATTTGGAAGCAGCAGCTCCAATCCCGATTGTTAGCTCGTTCCACAATGCTCCTCCAGGTATGCCCACCTTCCGACTTCACCAAAAAATTATGCCAAGTGCAATTCCGTACCCCTTCCAAGTATCCGATGCTACCCACCTCAGAGGTGGTGCTGGTTCCCCCTCCCCCCCTCCAGTTGCATCTTTTGCAGACGAAGCAGCTGACACGACTTTTCTTCCAGCTCAACGATCTATCGACGATTTGCTATTGTATGCCCAACCCCCTGCACCTGCCGACCAGACGGTGCAAGATGTTTCGCAGAATCCACAATCACTCGAAGAAGCCAGGCATCTCTACTACAGTATCTATTCTCCTGGTCTAGAGAGTTTCCTCGAATCAAAATGGTTCAGTGCCAAAGGTGCTGCCAAACTCATGGCCGACAAACCACTACTCGAAAAGTTTGGCACATTACTCCTCCAATTCTCAAAAACCGTCGTGTCTGATCCTATCGCCATCGCACACACCGCCAGTGTTGAAGCAAAGGTTGTTTGGGCTTTGGCCTGTATGGTTAAGCTTGGTGCAGAGGATGCAAAGGAGGCCAAGGTTGAGGCTAAGAGTGCGCTCCCTGCCCAGGACGATCCAATTGAGGCGGATCATCGATTAACAGTCTTTGAATGTCTCTTGACGGGTAAAGTTGCTGAAAGTAACCAGCTCACTGCTCCTGTCCAAGGAAGTGGAGATCACCACAGATTGAGGGAACTGGAATTCTGGTACACTTTGGCAAACTTTGTATGTCTTCGAGAAGATGATCCCAATTGTGTCAAGGACGTTGATGAAACTCTTGGTACCCTAAGAAATCTCTTGGATGGCCGAGAGAATCGCGATGTCTTGTACTCAATTGCCATTATTCGAGCCATGGAACAACGTGTTTCTGATTATACACCTAACGACACTCCACTCCATTTCGATGAAAGTGACAACCGCAGTAAGCTTCTTGTGGCAAAGAAGTTTGTTCAGGATGAAGCAAGTGGTTCCGGTACTACAAATGTCATTCGAAGATTGTGTGAGCTTGCTACACGCACATGGACTACTCCAGCACCTCTTGTACCTGCCCCCAAATAATTCAGCGCATCTTCACACAATTCCTTTTCAACGAATCTACTTTCTCCGGCGTCTCAGAAGCATTGATGTTACTTTGCAAATCAATACCAAATGCATTAAAGAATGGAGGGACGGGTTCTTGCAATCTCTTGCAAGTCTTTTGACGGCAGCCTTTTATTTTTCCTTTTCTCGACAGGTTGGCAACACATTTTGAAGGTTGTGGTATGCAAAAACAAAACAGTTAGCAAGGGTTTGGGGGGAGAGTTTTCAAAACTATCGTTTACTACACATGAAGTACTCGAGCAACTGCTTGATCATCTGCATGTATGCATGTAATCTTAGGAACAAATGGTAAATCTGGGATGGACTTTGCAAGAATGTATTTCCTTTGTTTCATACGGCTTTCTCTTCTCCTTCCTCTCTAATTGACTTTTTGATATCGCTCAACATTCAATGGGTTCATTGCATTACGAGTAGGATAATAAGATATTGATTTGAGCTGGGAAGAGTTGATGGTTAGATGTGGCTGGGTTGGGGATGTGCTACATGTGCGTTACAATTCAAATCGATGGACTGATCGAAATAGTGGGCATGTAAAGCATGTAAGGACAAGAGCGGAAGGGGGAGGACAGAAAAACTTTATTGTGTTATGCGGCTCAGCTGAAGGAAGGCCTTGATTCTAAAACTACGCGTTTCTTCTTTATCAAGATTTCAGTCACTGGCCGAATAAATGAGGAGCACTTTTTCAATGACTTTTGTTCCTTTGTGATGTGATTTTTTTCCTTCTTCTTCTATGTGATATTACATGTTCGTATGGTGAACCCGCAATGAAGTTGTTTAATCGCTATCCTGTTATCATCTTTATACTTGATGTGTCTATGTATGCATCCATGCAGTAAGTGTTCCACAGCAGTAATACAATATCATCGATGTAGTTCATCCTTCGCATCGCATCGTATCATTGATTGATCGGGCCGACCCCTCTGCAGATTCTGCGGGTATTTCGCTCTCGCGAAGGTTCGTTCGTTCCTGCATGTGGATGAGGATGAGGATGAGGATGAGGATGAGGATGAGGATGTGGATGTGGATGTGGATGTTGATGTATTGTTTTATTATTTTGTCCTTTTGTCCTTTTATTCTTTTGTCCCTTGAGCTGTCGCGTGCTTTTTATTGGGGGTTAGGGAGTGAGGAGTTGGTATGATATGATATGGTAGGGACTCAATTTCTGATGTATTTTCGTCACTGATGTTAATGCGTATTGAGTTGTGGAATTATGGATATTTATAGGTAGGCGCTGTTTGTGAGAGCGGGATGTGATCATTGATGTCGTGCATGTATTGCCGAACTTGCGGATGGACCAACCATACTGGGTGATTCTATACTCTCTGATTCGGATTCTATTGATCCCCCTTGTGGGCTTTTACTAGTTGATGATGTACATTATATCTCTTTTCTTTTCGATAAAAGAATTGGATTCCCCATGTCATCTATCGTTGCGATCAATCTTCTTTACAATGAGAAGTTTCCTTTTGTTCTAGACTTCCATACTCCTTGTCTATCACCACCTTCTCAGTATGCTTATCCTCATCTCCATTCATCACCAAGCCTAAGTGCTCGAATGATGTTTCCCTGACTTTTACTATTTGCTTGTATGTATCTAGCCGGTCGATACCTGCACATGTATTGTCCAGTCCCGTAGATGGCGACGAGTTGATGGCAAGAACAAGAATTTCGCATAGAGATTTCAGTATTTTACTAGTCCATCCCATGCGTGTGATGATCACCGTATGTACCAATGCGAGAAAAATATGTAAGAGGAGAATGGATAAAGCAAGCCATTTAGTGATTCCTCGAAGAGGATAGCTATAGCCATATCGAAATCGGTTGACGGTGATGTATGTATATTTCTCATTATCATGGTTTTGCTTCGATGCCTCGGATTCGATCAACGGTATCGAAATCTGGCCGGACCGACGGATTCTTGACATCGCGTCCGGTATGAGGCTGCTGACTGTTAAGCCCAATGGTATTGCTTGAGACTCGGTAGATGATAGCGCAATGGATAGTATTGTGTAGTTTGGTGGTAAAGCGAAATTTGCCCAATCAATGTCTATCTAAGCATTTCGCATAGGGTAATCTCTCGATTCGTTGATTGCGCTAGTCCAGTCGTCCATGTCTTTGGTAGGATTCGTGAGATCTGGAGAATGAATGTATTGGTCTGTCTTGGGATCGATAAAAAGCTCTGAAGACCGCCAGCCAGCATAGATGGAGCACGTTTCTATTTCCAACATGTTCCATTTCGCATGGCTTGAAACACTCCGTAATGTCACTGCCCCTATTGAGGGAGAATGGGCACTTTGATTTGTTGGTGCTATCCATAGTGCCAATGGCCAGCCACCAGAAGATTTCCATGATTCAAAGCCTGTTTAGATTCTGCATACCAGTATTGACCATTGCTTGAGTCTTTTTCAAGGAATGGCAATTGAAGACTTGCAAGAGAATCATATTCATCCCCCCTCTCATTTGTCACATTATAGTAGAAATCTGAACAAGCAGCAAATACTTGGGGGGCTGGGGGTCTCCTATCATTGACCAATACTTGCAATCTGGTAGTTTCATTTTCAGAAGTAGTATGTATCCCAGCAATATTTAAAAGAGCACCAGTAGCGAGTGCAGAACTCGCCTGACCCATGTACTACGCTCTCTGGTTCGAACTCAATGTGTATTCAGGACCATAACGATCGCTAGTATTATAATGGCGCCCTGTCCCCTCAATAAAACGACTACTGTATATTGTAGTCACGGAGAATCCCACTGAATCATAGGCGCTGTCCGAAAGTGTTATCGGCATTGTTATGTTCCATGAATCGTTAACAAAAGAATGTCCCTGTGTGCGAGCCCACGTTTGAATAACAGAATGGCCACCAGCTGGACATTGCTCGGTAAATAGTTTATTGCTAAACCCACAAACCGAGGAATAGGAATATGAGCGATCAATGCGATTTGGCCATAGTTCGTTAAAGCTAGTTTCCGCTCGGAATGCACCTGTTGGAAAACTTGATTCGTTCGGAAGCCACGGTCGGAAGTCCGTACCAGGCAGAAAGGAATCCTTTGAAAAGGGGAAGTTCTACCAATCTAGAGATGATATCATCAAGATTACAGACGCAGGACCACTCACAGCGGCCAGTATAGTTGAAATTACTATCATGAGACATAGAAAACCAAGGGACGTACGTCTTTCGAGGCTTCTATCAGCAGTCAAAGCAGCTCAGAATTCGGGACTTGAGAGTGATGCAAGGTCGGTGATTCTGAAAGCAATGAAGAGACTACCAATTGGTACTCCAGCCTGAAAGATTCTGTATTGAACAAGGGATAGAACCATAGATGATAAGGAAGCTCCGATGAGTATCTCGTGTATTTTGGCCGCGAATTGTAGCCCATTGAGTCGAGCGTTTACACTTGCAGTGCCCACACCTATCGAAGTCGCATAGACAGTAGAAGCATTCAAGAACAATAAAACTATGGTGAATATAATAGGTAGTATATGTATGCCCGCACCACCACGACGCTTTCCATCTTCCGGATCGAATCGCTTGCTTTGGTCTCTCAGCTTGTTGATTCCGATTTTCAATTACTGTAGAAATGAGTTTGAGACGACAGAAAGGCCAAGAAAAAATAGATGAGAGATTGCTCTTTTTCATGGTGAGAAATAGCTTCCAGGGAGGGATGGAATTGGAATCATGATACGACTGGGAAATGCTGGTGTTTAAAAACGTTCATTGTGCCTCATCGACGAAGTCGTATTGCTTATTTGCATATCACAGGGGCTATAACTCATACAGTAAGCTGCCTTATACAAGGGCATGTGCCTCAAGTTGTGCGAGCACACGAAACCTGAAGGAATAAAGGGGCGAATGAATTGACGCTCTAGGACACGTTACCATTGACAACTTCGAATCATCTCGATCTTGAACATTTGGCAGAATCAAGGAGCTTCCAGTGCTTGCATCTACCCATAATGTTGAAGCATTACACGGGGTATTCTATGTGGACTGTAGAAAATAAAGCTGATCATAAGTGCGCTTTCGACTTTGACTGTGAGACGAGAATATGCTCTCAACCATTCAAGAATATAAGGTTACTGTAGTAAAATTCATTCTTCATGCTCAAAACTTTGAGCCATTGTCTCGTACCCTCATAAACATCTGAACACTCGCTGAATCGAATCTCCAACCCATAGTGTAGAATGTATCGAAGATCCAAACTTCAAATATCCGGTAGCACAGCTTCTGTATTGACATTGTTTTTGTGCTATATTGATCTCGGTTTTGATCTGTGGATGACTGAAAAGATGGAAAGATTGCTATTCGAATTATTTATTTCATTTAAACTAAGATTAAAGGTCCGATATTCTAGTTTTGCTCTTCTCACACTCATAGCTCAAATTATTGATCAAGACAGTATCAAAGTCTGTAAATCATCTCAGGCTGTTTTGGATTGGTATGGATTAGATGAAGGCGCCAAACTCACCACCGGAGCTGAAGCGGATCGTAGAGCGACAGAGTTGATGGTGCAGCTTGAGATGACTGCAAGGGGATTGAAGCTTGTGTAGGTTAGCATTGGAAAGAATTTCATTCGGCTAAATCTAAAATACAAAGCCCAATTTGTGTATGTCCATTCACTCTGAGTTGTATATCCCAACATCACCTCTTCGCGATCAAATCCCCCAATGTCGCAATGTCGGCACCACCAAGGAGATCAAAAATAGCGACAGAGACCCCGAAGTCTCTCCGAATCCAATTACGCAGCTCCACAGCCATCAATGAGTCTGTGCCGTAGTCTGATAGGCTGAATGAGAATCTACATCATCCACTGAGACATCCAATGCCCGCGCCAGCTTTGCTTTAAGGGCCGAAACAACCACCACGCTGCGGTCTTGGGGGGTCGCGGCTTGCCGGAAAAGGACAGCCGGGTCTTCCTGAGTTCAGACGGTAGATTTGTGCTTATTCACATCATAAAGCTGCGGAGCGCTGAAGCCAGCAAAGAGAGGTCGTTTTAAAAAATCGATCGGTGCCTCGCCCCGAGCATGAACGTGTGCTTACGTTATTAGACCAATTAGAACTTGGCTATCCTGGGTGCTGAGAGGGGGCAGCAGCGGGTTACAATAATGCTCAAGCAGAGCGAAGAAATCAGCCTCCACAACTTGGGACATATCACCCACATTTAGGCGGCTACGTTGATATTCTTTTGTCTCGGCAATAATACCGATGGTACGCATCCAGCCGAGGTTTATTGAAACTGAGCCTCGATATCCAGCAGCGGATCGGGATCTTGCTAAAGCGTCTTGAAAGGTACAGTCAGCTGCGTAATTACTTTGTCCGGGGGATCCATAGATGCCTGCGATGGATGAGAGAAGGATGAAGAAATCCATATCCTTAGGCAATAGTTTGTGAAGATTCCAGCTTGTATTGACCTTGGACCGTATCGTTCTTGTCCATTGCGCATGTGTCATGTTTTCAAATACCGAGTCCTAATTTCGTGTAAGCTCGTGTCTCATGACCAACAGGAAGTGAAAAGAGCGATTCGGGAAATCTGAAGAGGAGCTTGGAGGTATTTAACACTCATGAAAAGAATAGTAGGAGAAATGCAAACCTGGAGGACCATAGCCGCGTTGATGCATCCTTTAATAGGCGGCATGCTGACGGCACAGTCTTGTAGCAATGTTATCAAATCTGTGTCTGATGCAACATTACAAATTTTTGTTATTACGCGAACGCCTCTCCTTGTTAGTTCTAAGACTATATTCACCGCTGCCTGGGATGATGTTCCCGAAGTTGAGGGAACTATGAGGTTTTTAGCCCCTCTATCTGCCATCCATCGAAGTATTGCGCGGCCAATACCGCCAAATCCACCAACAACGACGTAAGATGCACCAGCATCCATATTCCAGTCACTTTTGAGAGTCAAAAATTTCTATTCAATTATTAGTGAATAGGTATCTTGGTTACTGCTTAAGAAGGAGAGACCTACAGGGATAGGATCCTCATCTCGACTCGTCATGATAATGCGGCCTGTATTCTTTCCATTTTGCATATACCGAAAGGCTTTTTCGACATTAGATGCAGGATACAAGTGGAAAGGCTCTGGCCCGCCAATATCCCCTTGAGATATCAAGGTCACCACTTCTTCTATTAGATGACGAAGTAGCTTGACATTTGTAACGGATAGATGTACGAGGTCAACATCAGTAAAGCTGGTATTTCTCGCAAAGCTACCCATAGGCAACGACGAGTCTACCCCGATGTCCGCTTTCCCGATCTCCACAAACCTTCCATATGGTGCGATGCATTCCCAACTTGCACGAAGTCCTTCCCCTGACAATGAGTTAAGCACAACATCAACGCCGTAACCCTTAGTTACCCGCATGATCCCTTTGGCAAATGACGTATTACGGCTGTAGAAAATATGATCATCAGGAATTTCAAATCGATCAATAAGAAGTTGCTTCTTTTCATCAAACCCAACAGTGGTAAAAACTTCTGCTCCAAGCCATTGTGCTATGGCGATAGCCATTTGACCGGTGCTACCTGCACCGGAGTGAATAAGAATTTTCTCTCCACGTTGCAGACGCGCTATATTTATCAATGAGTAGTATGCCGTGATACCAGGATTAACTGCCGCGGCAGCTTCGTTGAACGATAAGTTGTTGGGGATCTTAACGACTCTGTCAGCTCCAGTCCTCGGATGACTCTTCATGCACCCCACTGAAACCATCACTACACGATCACCACATTTTATTTCATACTGACACTTGTTTCCAATTCTTGTGACGACTCCCGCACATTCAACGCCAAGCCCATCCATACCTAGCCTACCAAGTGCCACAAACACATCGCGAAAGCTAATTGGCCATGAAACGGCCCCGATTTCAACTTCATCCGGACCCAAGGCGTCGTTATATGCAGTATCTTCCACGAAACGCAGTCTATCTAGCATTCCAGGAACTCCGACCTCGAGCGCTACTGGTGGACCAGGTTTCCATGGTTCCGTACGGAGTTGTGGTCTTACGCGTGCCGACCGTTCGGCATCGAGTTCAATTCCTTTCATCAAGCGCCCAATCGTCAAATGGCCACCTTGCACAACAAACTCAATTTCAAGAGATGCAGGCTTCTCTCCAAAGCATTTGTCGAGGATATCGAGCACATGTTTCGCTGTTGTGCTCGGGAAACCGGACTCTGCGATCAGAGTTACAATATGCTTCTCAGGTTCTTCAGACTGGATACTGCGCAGAAAACCTGTCGCAACGGCGGGAAATGGATTGATCATTTTGCCATCAGCTAATGGCAGATAACCAACCCACAGAATAGCTTCTACGCCTTGTACAAGCTCCTTCAATGACCGAAATTCTTGCTCAGACAAAGAACTTAATCGTGTCATATCGAACTCCACTAGAGAAACAATGGTGTCTTTGGACGAAGGCCACCACAACCCTTCATGAGATGTTCCAATTCCAAGATTTGTGTATTTGGGTTCTGATTGTGGATCTCTGCCGCTAGGATACGTTGAGAATCAGAGTTCCCATCGATAAAAAGCTGGATCCGATTCTGCTTAGGCTCCGAATCGCCATTCAACATTGAAGCTACGATCGTTTCTGATTCTGCAGTATTGACCTTTTTCAAAATAATCATACTGCATAGGTGGCAAATGTCGCTTTTATAATCCCTGAGGACTATTTCTGCCCCAGAGAATCCCGTCTCGAGTAATAGCTCTCCCCAACGATCTGTTGTCAAGAGAGGTGTATATTCGCTCCACTCTTCGGTACTGAGCCACCAACCCGGAAGCGAGCCGAAGGTGACATTAGCACGAGCACTATTCGTAGCGACTACTTCCTGCATAACGATGTGAGTTCCAGGCTTGAGCAGCTGTCTTACTCGCCCCAGAGTTGCCTCTAGATTAGATGTAGCATGAAGAACGAGACCTGCAATGACTAAATCATAACTCTCAAGCTCAAAACCTTGTTTAACGGGGTCGCGTTCCAAGTCAAGTGTCTTATACAGCAGTCTTCCATGGAAGTCTCCGAATTCCTCTTGCGCAGCTTCGAAAAACATTGGTGAAATATCGGTATATGTATAGCTGGCGAAACGGTATTGACCTGTTTCTTTCTCGAAGCGGTCGAGAGAGCCGAGGATATGACGAGACATACTTCCAGTTCCTGCACCAATCTCGAGAATTTTAAGAGTGGGCTTCTCGTGTGACGCTATGTCGAGGAATTTTGCAAATCGGCCATCGCGCATTTGCTGGTTGGCGAGGTAGGTGTAGAGCTTTTCAGCACTCTTGCTTGCGAACATCAGCTCCAGAGGGTCTTGTTCACCCCGTAGAATGGATGGTAGCATACGGCCAATGGTCAAAAATATGCCACAGTTTGGATTTGTTAGTTCGCACTCTTCCAGAAGGAGATCAAGTTCCGAGTCACTCATATATTTAGTTTCACCAGCTGATGGTGTGACGTAGAGGTGCTGGAGAGATTTTACATACCGTCGCATATAGCTTGGAGCACGATCGAGATCTACTTCTTTCAAGTCACGCAAGGCTTTTCGCGTAGCTAATATCATGATGGTATCTACCTTCAGCGCCCATTCATTTTCGAAGGTCTCGTCGTGGACCAGGGCAGTATCATCGCAAAATTTGAGCAGCTCTCTACCAGTCAGAGAGCTCAGCTGCGGTTTCCAAGCAATGTTGTAAATCATTACTTGGTCATCTGGATCTTTGAACTGGTTGGGTTGCGAAACTTCCGTCAAAATCACATCCTCTATGGAGCAAAGAGGTGAATAATCATCAGTCAATGCTCATACGGAGCCTTTGAGACTGCCAGGGCTGTCAGGCTCTGCATTGAGAATTGAATTCAGACGCAACGATGACGTTGAGCTGCTCCATGTTTTGGCTGAAATCCATAGGTTTGCTATCCGTTGCGGAACAACTGTTGCACCATCTTCACCAAGGCCTTTCGAGATTTGTACTAGAAGGAGATGAATGCCTGCGTCTAGAACAGTTGGATGGGTAGGGCTCTCAATTATCTCATGCTGTTTTTGAAATGCAGTTAGATCAATTCGTGCAGTTGACTTTTGACTACCGTCCCATTCAATTTCTCATAGAAGTTGAAATGTCTCGCCATAATGGATGCCATGCTCATCGTAATACCGGTAGAAGGCGCTTCTATCCACAGTCTCTTTGCAAGACTCAGCTGCTTCCTGAAAGCGCTGTTGGAACTGCTCTTGCCAAAGTTGGTTCTCCAGGCCGCCGTCCACTTGGGTCTTATTGGCTTCTTCATTCTGTACTTGGACATTGGTGCGGAAACATTGTGTCCATCGTTCATCTCGGTAGGTAAATATATTGACTTCATAGCATGTTTGTTCTTTTTCGTACGTGTTCTGTATGGGATGCAAATGAAGGACTGTCTCAGTAGCAGTCTGTACATTCTTGCCGACTGTGATTGGAGCAAGGAACTGAGTTTTCTTCAAGAGAAACCCTGAAACTATACGGTGGCTTGCAGATATCTCTTGTTTCACAGCCTCAATGGCCATGACTACCATTCCTGTTCCAGGGCAAATCATTTTGTTGGAAATCTACATGCCATTTAAAGTGATGAGTGACTACAAGCAAGAAAGGTGGAGAAGAAAAAAGACAATAGGATACTCACTATATGATCCTCGAGCCAAGGCATTGCTTCGGTGCTCAGCCAATTTCTCCACTGTGGTGTCAGTGCATTCCAGTCATGATTACGTCTTCCAAGCATATATCCAGGCGAGCTTGGCCTCAGTCTGAAGTCTTTACTCAACCTTGACTCGGCCCAGTAGCGTCGGCTATGATCAAATGGATATGGGGGACAATCGACGAGGAAGGGAAATTTTTCCTCTGCTTGAAGGTTTCCGGCCAATATAGAAACAGGATATTTGTGGCACCACAATGTTCCCAAGACAATTAAAATGGTTTGTAGCGACGACTTTTTACGCTCCAAAACAGAGTGATATCGTACAGGCGATGAAAGTGAATCTTTTATTGGCCTACGTAGGGCTGGGTGAGGACCAATCTCAATTAAATCAGTTATGATTTCTGGTCCTCCTGTGACTGACTCTTCAGTCTTTTTCTCTAACAGCTTTATGGCATCTGCGAATCGCACAGGCGAAACCATGTTGTCAACCCAGTACTGAGCAGTTGATAATAGTTCCGAAGAAACAACATGGCCAGTGACGGAACTAATCATTTGAATCCGGCTAGTCTAGCTCTTTACTATGTCCGATTCGAGAGAGCCCACCAGCGAGGCATATTCGTCAGCAACGGCCAGCATGGCTGGAGAATGGTATGCAACACCAGTATTCAACTTCTGAGCAAAGATACCACGCTGATCAAGATCAACTTTGAGGATATCAATAGCTTCTGAAGGGCAAGAGAGTGTGACATTGGTAGGGCTATTTAAGCATGCAATGCAAACTGTGTCTTTCCAAGATCCCAAATCTAACTCTGCCAGATATGCAGGAACTTCGTATTCAGGAATGTTAGCTGCAATCATGGCGCCTGTAATTTCAGTCATAGCTCGAAGTTTTTCGGTTAATTTTCCACGAAAATATGCCACTTTGCATGCAGATTTGTGAGATATAGCGCCGGTGGTGTACGCAGCGGCAATTTCTCCGCTCGAATGTCCAACCACAGCAGTGGACGTTACACCAAAACTAGAAAGGAGGTCGACTAGGGCAATCTGCAGCACGGTACAAAGTGGCTGGCTGAATTCTGGACGGTTGATGTTTTGCTCATTGCAAAGCTCATCTGAATTGGGGTGGGACATTGTGTCAGTAAGCTTAACACTGTCTAAAACTTGCCTAGATAGGTAAGGAAACGAACTCTGGTTAAGCGAGACTTACCGAATATTGACCAGCCACTTCCTAGACTGGTTAAAATGCCATCAGATTTTCGTAAACTTTTCTCAAAAACTGAGTAACATAACAGCTCCAACCCCATGTCAACATATTGCGCCCCTTGTCCTGTGAAGACGAGGGAAATGATAGGCTTTTTAGTCGGCGCTCGGACTGCTGGCGCCAGGGCCAGAGGAAGCATGTCACCGTTAACTTTTTCTTTGTCAATGGGGTTCTTTTGTCCACCGACTACAGTAAAAGTTCGCCATGGCATATCAGATCGTCTTGCTGCCGGTGTATATGCCAGCTGGTCAGTTTTGGCGCTGCTTCCGATGATGTGAGCTTGGAAGTAATCTTGGTAGGTATACTTCATGCGCTCCAAAGCATTTGAATCTGCAGCACTCCATATAAGTATTTTCGGCATTGGCAGAAGCTTAAGCTCTGTTGATCCAGTATTGAAGTCATTCCTGTTACTGGTGGTTGTGGAATGTACGGCTCCGTTGACAGTGGGCTCCTCGGCAATACAAGGGGAGACAGTGCAATGATGGTACCCGGTAAGTCCATGACTTTGAAGATAATGCAAGGTATCATCCAAGATAATGTGGGAATTTGTCCCTCCGTAACCAAAGGAATTGACCGAAACTCGACGGAGATTAGATGTTGGCCATAGGGTACTCTCTATAGGAACCTTTTTGAACGTGTCAATGGACATATAAAAAACAATGCTATCAATCAGTATTAAATTCGAGCTAACGCACCTTTATATGTGAGAGTCTGCGTCAATTTTTGGGTTCATTCTCTCAAAGAGGGCTGTCGGCGGAATGACTCCTTTCTCCAGCGATAGAATTGCTTTTATGATACAGCAACTCCACTGGCCCCTCCAAGATGGCCAATGTTAGCCTTCACCGACCCTCTATCATATTATAGTTAGCTCAAATAGTGTGTGGTTCGAGAACTATCCATATAATCTTACACTAAAAGAGGTTCCTCCTGCGAGCGGTGTTCTCTGAACACATTTCCGATTGCCGACACCTCAATAGGATCTCCCACCGACGTCCCCGTGCCTATTATAATTAGTTTGTCAGTGGTTCTTGTCATACGTGCTCTGATAGTATTATAACCACTTACCATGAGCTTCAATATATCTCGTGTCCTCAAATCCCAATCCGGCCTGTGCATAGACTCGGCGAATGAGAGCTTCTTGAGATTCGGCGCTAGGCTGCGTAAGTGTCGGCGTTCGACCATCCTGATTAGAGCCAATTCCTCGTACAACTGCTCGAATGATGTCTCCGTCTCGTAGAGCATTATGTAACGGCTTAAGTAGGAGAGCCGCTATGCCCTTGCCACGAGCATAGTTATTAGCTCGCGCATCAAAGCTGAAGCACTTACTGTCAGGCGAAAGGAAATTTCCCTGTTCCAGAAGGATCGTTGAGTCCGAACTAAGAAGCAGGTTGGAACCTAGAACTAAAGCCTGAGTAATTCCCATTGAGAGTCAGTAACGAGTTATTTATGGAGGAAAGTCATGGCTTGGAAGGGAAGGAGGGAAAATTGGCAAGCAGACCGCTTTGGCATTGCCACTTCTCATCGCTTGACACGCCATATCAACTGCAACCATGCTACTAGAGCATGCTGTGTCAAGGTGGATACTAAGCCCACGTAGGTCAAAATACCAACTGATTCGATTGGGCAGTATCCCCAGTTGCCCTCCAGTGACTGCTTGCGGAGGGGCAGTATCACCATCTTTAGCCATCATCTTGGAGTAATCACCCGACATAGTTGCTCCAAACACAGCGGTTTGGCTCCCACGAAGTTTTTCAATGGGTATGCCGGCTGTAATAGTCATCGCAAATTAGTTGATGCCTATTTATGAATAAGGAATAAAGGTAGTTTGTATCGTTCCGATCTTACCATTTTCGAAAGTATGATATGCCACTTCTAAGGCCATACGTTGCTGAGGATCCATTGCTGCAGCCTCTTTAGATGTGATAGAGAAGAAAGGGGCGTCAAACAGTCCGGAGTCTTCAGTGAAGAAATGAGCTCCATGGGAGTAAGGGCTAGTTTGGATGTACAAATCCGCGCTGGATCCGCTGAATATTCCATTCTTTTTGAAAGCGGATTTTGAATTCATATTTGGATGTTAAATAATCCGTATTTCAACGAATTTAATGTATTTCGAAATAGGGAAAAGATGGATTACTCTAAAATGATACTAAATAATCCGCGTTTTTCATCAAATTTGTATAGGAAAACAAGGATATGGATTGAAAACAAGGATTAGAAAAAGCAATCCTTATTTTCAATTTAATAAATAATCCGTGTTTTTATAGGCTTTTATAAATCTTTCACCCTATATTCATATAGTATTATAATAATATTAGTACTTCAAATATCTAAATTTATAGGGTATCTTTATTTTTCTTCAAATCATCTTTGATTTCGATTTAGATTACTTTACATTTCTATTCCCTATATATTAGAATATATATAGTTTTAGTTTAAAAGTAAATTCTTTAACATTCTTTTTATTATAGCTTTAGATTCTATTAATGATTTAGATTATAAACTACCTTTTTCTTATTTATAATGAGTAATGATAAGGTTAATAATTCTGAATAGTTTATTCCTATCTTGATTTATAATTTAACTGCTGTTATTAACTCTTTTTATTATATTCCAATTTCAAAAAAAAAAATTGGTATTCCTAATGAATTTAAAATATAATCTTTTTTTGATTTTAAATACCCTTAATATTATTAAAAATAACTATATATACCTCTATACACTTTTCGACTTTTAATTAAGTTTTATTATAAAAAAACAAAGCTATAATATTCTTAATATATTTTAATTAATTAAAAACTATATATATTTCTTTATATTATAGGTCAGTGTGGAACTATATATAATATAATTAAAGCCTTTTCTTATTCTGAAGAAATAATTTATAGGTACAAAAAACACCTTATATAAATCTATTTATTGATTTATTCTAATGTATTTTAAGATAGTTTTATCAAGTTTTAGATGCTATAATGATATTATACTTATTAGTAGTAAAGCTATCGGATTTAACTATATAATTCGCTCTTTCTTGAATAACAGAAAATGAAAAATATTATATATATTTTGCAAATTGCCTAAAAGCTCTCGATAGCATCTTTATTCCAGTAATAATACCTTTCGAAGATCGATCTGCTTATTTCAATCAAAAAGGGTATATTATACAGAATGTTTTTGTAGTAGTTACTTTCAATTTATAATTCTATTATATATTAGCTGGTTGGGAAGATTCTGTGAATAATCAAAAGATGCTTTCAAATACTTTGATTTCAAAAGGTTTATGAATTCCAGAAGGTTATTATTATTTAGGTGATACAGGATATGTAAATACTGGGCAGGTTCTTATTTTATTCAAAGGGGTAAGATATTATCTATAAAAGCAATTAGAATCTAATAAGATACTCAAAACACTAGAAAAGCTTTTCAACCTTCGACATTCTTCTTTACGAAATAAGGTTGAGAGAATTTTTGAAGTATTCAAAATACGCTTTCCATTTCTAATATAATAATAAAAATATTCATATACAATTTAAATATATATAGTTTATACTTTGTATACTCTATATAACTTTATTTAATAAAATAGCTTTAAAAAAGATTTATTTGAAGTTCAATTTGATTATATCATTGATTGTATTCTAAGTACTATAGATAATACAATAATGAATTTAAGTAGTAATGAATTAGATTCTATTTTGTCATAATTTATAAACTACTTTCGATAAGGAATTGCAAAGGTTATATAGAAAGATTATTGTAAAGTGAAAAGAATTTGAAAAATACGAGAAAAAGAAAAGCAATATTGTATTGAAATAGAATTTGATAAGTATATGTAATTAGAATAGAAAGTAATCATCAGGGTTTCTCTATTTATCATTATCTTTTGCTATAGCTTCTGGCGTTTCTTCGAATTTTTTAAGGAATTGAGAGAGATCTTTTTTTTATTCTATATAATGGAATAGATTCCAAGCTTGCTTATATTTTATCTTATCTTTAGAAATCCAAAATTCATATCTTTTTGGATTATAGCTTTTATTAGAGGTCCATTATTCTTTAGGTCCAGGAAGCTTGATATTATTCTCTCCCTCTAGTTTCAAAATATCAGAATTTCAAGAAATAAGATTTCTTCAAATAGTATGTTATTAATGATTGAATATTTTATAAGGAAGTTTATTAGGATACAAATATATTTTATTAATATATTAATAATTTGATATAATAATAAATAAGGGATAGTAAGTGAGAAATGGCTAGAGAGAAATGACTAATAAGAAAAAATCAAAATAAATTTATCTAGACGAATCTTTTACCCATAAAAAATCCGAAGATTCTTTATTAATTTTTTTGTTTAGACTCTTTAAATTAGTTATAAACTGCTTTACACTAGCTTTTTAAGCTTTAATCCAAATCAAAATTCCAGAAAGTCCAATTATCTAAATTTATATATTAGTATTTATAGAACTAATAAATATTATATCTTTATATTTATTTTAATTCTTAATTGATATTCAAATCTTTTAAATTAATCTTTTCAAATTCTCTAACTTTATTATTCTTTTTTTATTATTAGATTCCTTCTTTTCCTTTTTCTCTTTCTTATTAATATCAACTTTCTAATCTTCAAAATCTGTTTCGGAATTATTTGATTCAAACTTTGATATAGAGTTATTGTTGTTTTGAATAAGGTTTTTTGTCTTTAATATTTTTCTAAATAAAGTTAATTAAAATCAGATTTTCATTTGGATTTATATATTAGGATTATTGTATTTCAATATTCAATCAAGTTTGTACAATTATTTCATTTTATTTATTCTTTAATACCTTTAAAAAATCAGAAGTTTTGCAAAGCACTTTCAAAGTATAAGAAATCTGATGCTTTTTCCTATCTTTCTCTTTTTCGACTTTTAGTTCTTTAAATATCATTCTTGCCTTTCGATTATATATATTTCTAGCTTTTCGCTTTTGCAAATATTCTTCTTGCTTTCCCTATAGCTTCTTCTTATTAGATTTAGTTATTATTGATATCTTTTTAATTCTTTAAAGCTTAGAAAAGATTCAATATTATAAATATAACGCTTATTATTATTATTATTATTATTATTTCTAAAAGTATATTATTTGTATTATTTATAATATTTTCGTATTCGAAATAATTATATTCCATAAGAAATAAGTAGTATAATTAATTGAATTATGCGATATATAATATATTAATTTACAAACATATATTTCTAAATATTTAATTTTTCAATACTTATTCCTTTCGCCCCTATTCTTAAAGCTTTTTAAATATATACCCCTTAAATATTTAAAACCTTTTCTATAATAAACTGAAATAATTCAAATCTAGACCTTGAAAGCATTACATTCTAGGAAATCCTGTAGCTGTAATATAAACTACAAATACATTATATAGAAAAGCTATATTACATACTAATATTGAAAAGAGATTAATGAATAAACAAGAGTTAGATGTAGATAAAAGATTATCTTTTTTTAAAAATAAGAGTATAAAGAAAATTTCGAAAGTAAAGATTCAAAGTATAAAAAAGCAGTCTAAAAAAAGAAAAGTAGAAGTTGTTAAAAGAGCTTATTAATGAAAAGTAGAGAGTAAATAAATCTTTTCTTGATTTATAAATTTCTTTCTTATTAATTGAGTATAGCAATTATATTATAAAAATTAAAAAATATCAAAAATCAATCGAATTGCTTTTGAAAAAAGTCTCTTTTTAATATTTAGTTAAAGAGGTTTCAAATCAATTTACATTTAATAAAAAATATTGAAGATGGAATACTACTGCTCTTATAGTAATTCAAGAGGCAGCTGAATCCTTTATGGTTACTCATTTTGAGAGTACATTTTCTATTCTTTTATTTATCAATTGAATAGATTATTGATTTAATTTATAATACTATAATATTATGTATTTCATATAAAAGACAAACTATTAAAGATATAGATAGCATTTTTCTTTAAAGAATAATAAAGCTAGCAACCCTTATTATTAATGAATATTATACCTTGAAAAACTAAACTTTATAATTTTTTTATTAGTTATTTCTCACTAGCCATTTTTTACCAATTATTTCTCACTTATTATTTCTCATTAGCCAATTATTACATACTTATATTCTTTATTTCATATATCTAGAACTAATGAATAAGTATTATTTATACTCATATATTATTAATATCAAATAAGATAAAGGTATTAAAAAATATAATATTAATATTTAATTGAATAAATATAAAGATTATATTAATAAAAATATATAATAAAGAGAATAAAATAAATAGAACTATTAAATCAAAAGCTATTAGAACTTGAAAGCCATTCTTTATTTAAAGCTTGTTGTAAAGAAACGGATAATAAAGGTATTTCATTATTTTTCTTTTTATACTATTCTTTAAGCTCTTTACAAATCTTATTTACAAACTCTGCTTGAAATAAGCCTATACATATAAATATCAGTAGCTTATTATAAGATTAGCAAATACTAAACACCAAATATTATAGAAAATCAACAAGTTTGAAAATAATATCAGCCCCTAGGAACTTATATTTGCTAAAATAGTTTTTATGTAATTATATAATATATTTGATATTAAAAGAATAGTGGATTGTTGATTTGAGTATATAAAATACTAAAATGGTTTTTCGATTTATTAAAATCTCTTAAAGATTTATTAATATAAAATAAACTATCTATAACTTTAAAAGAAATAATTTTCAAGGCTTTTTTAATAGTATATAGCTTATAATAAATTGTTTATATTGCTTTATTTCTAATTATAAATTAATTAATAATAAAATATATTTTAAAAATATAAATTCCTTATTTTATATATCCTAGAGCTATATTTATTTCATCTTTTAATATTCTTATTTAAAAAAGGTATAG